CCCTCCTACCGCCCGCTCCCTCCTACCCCCGCCCCCTCCTACCCTCCTCCTCCTCCCCACCCACATGCATAAGACCTATAAGTCGCTGTAATTTGCTCTCGTTAATAAATGTTACTTGATAAAACTTTTTAAAGTACATACTACCCGCTCACATATTTGCTACTCTTTGTGATTTTGTTTATTTCTTTTTCCTGAGATTCTGTCAATGGCCTCTCGTGTGGCCGGATGTCAGCTTCAAACATCGACAAAGATATTTTCTGCCTTTCCTTCCTTTTCCATTTTTCCAACAAGAATTGTCGCAATAATTCATTCATTTTTAATATTTCTCATTTTCTCTCGCGGCGTCAATTGTAGACAGAGAGTACCTTAGACTTAATTTTTCCCTCGTTATTACCTCAACACAAAATAGCAAGCAGGTGCAGTCGCCGCTGCTGCTTGCACTTGCTGATCGCGGAGAATCCAGCTGTTCTGACTGTTCCTCACAGGAAACAGATGCTTGTGTTGTGAAAAATCTCTCCTAACAATACTGGAGCTGAGGGGGGGGGGGTCAGTGAGGACTAAGCAACGTTTTCGCGACGTCTTGAGGGACCGAAGGATCGATGTGCATAAGATTTATTACGTTGGAAAGATCTAGTCGTCGCTAAAGTTGGTAAGCGCTCGTTGTTTTTTTACTTTGTTTAAAAGGAGTATTCTTGCTGGTTGTGGCGATTTATCTGTTTTCTGATTGGATGATTTTGACTATGACATATTCGGTGGCTCTTAGACAATGAAATGTGAAAATTTAAATAAAGAGGCTGAACACAAGGTATACAAAATTAGAATTGTAATTCAATCCAACCTGAACAAATTAAATGAAAAAAATAATAAGTAATGATAATACCTAGCAGAGAAAACAAGTACTCTATCTTATAATAATTCAAGATACCAAAAATTATTCCGTACAGTGCTGCTTCTCACTTATGCACCCGTCAATCAAAACCTCCAGCCCCCCCCCCCCTCCTCAAGGTTCGACATCTATTCGACGTCGAGTAGACGCCTAATCTTGACCCAGAGTTATTGTTTCACAGGTGGATTCTGAGCTAATCTGAGGCGAAGAGAAAGCAAAGTGAATCTTGTACGAATACTTTGATTCTGAAAGTGAAATAGCGTCGAATATTAGTTAAACCGGTAATAATCCATAATCACGAGATTTTAAAAATCATGCAAGAATTTTCCCATGAGAAAGTCAAACACTCACCACCGTCCGACTGTCAGATTGGCAGCAGGCCAGCATTGCTGTCCAGCACACGGCGTGTAGTGTTATAATATACCGATGTAATGATTTGCAAGATGTATTAGGACCTTGTGAGACACAACTCTTTTTAAAATTGTGGCTTCTCAGTCATGGTACTTCTGTCACGCAAAAACACCCCAAGCTTACCGTGCTTTGGAAAAAAAAAAATGTTTCTCTTCACTGGAAGTCAACTTCTCAAGTAAAGTGGTGAATCTTCACCGAACGCATTCCCACCATGTATGAACCTGATCTTGAACGGGCAGTACAAGAAACACTGCGAATGGGGGGGGGGTGAATCTTCACCCATTTCTTTTTTTTTTTTTTTTTTTTTTTTTTTTTACAACATAAAGTGAATATAGGTGCATGCTTGAGGATGAGGGGTTGGAGGTTCTACTTGACCAGTTGCTTACTACAAACAGCTAGATACTTCTTAAGAGCGGAGAAAACGAGTACTCTATTTACACAGTGACTTAGAATACCAAAGATTCTTCTACCACCGCTTCCCACTTGACGGAGGACGAGTCGCTCGCCACAAGCACTCGCGTCGTCGCTCCGCAGCTGCTCTCTGGCGGCGGAATCGGAACAGGGATCGAAGCCTTCTGGAAAGTGCTTGGAATCTCTTCCTCTCGCTTTCCTTCTCCCTTTCTTATCTTGAGAGTGTTTGGAATCTCTTCCTCTCTTTCCTTCTCCTTTTCTCCTGCTTGTTCTTCTTTCCTCGGTCTCCTTGAGAGTGCTTGGAATCTCTTCCTCTCGCTTTCCTTCTCTCCTTTTCATTCTCCTGCTTGTTCTTCTTTCCTCGGTCTCCTTGAGAGTGCTTGGAATCTCTTCTCCTTTTTCTCCTTCTCCTCTTCTCCCTTCTTCTTCTCCGTCTTATTCTTCTATGCATTCTATTTTTTTTTTCTTTCGTTTACTCCGCCTTTTCTTCTTCGTATTCCTCTTCTTCGCCTTCTCTTTCTCCTTCCTCCTATCAGATTTTGACATCAAATCTGCTTTCTTCTACAAATGAGATTCTTCCTAAAAAGTCCAATTCTTGCACTGGTAATGATGATGAAAGTTATAAGAAGGGAAATGATTATGCTAATGAGAATAAGAGAATTATAGCAATGGCAATAATAATAACAATAGGGATAAGTATAATAATAATAATAATAATAAATAATAATAATAATATTAATGATAATGACATTTGTAGTGATTGAATAAATAGTGATGACAATGGTCATGATGATATTAGTAATGATGATATTTACATTAGTGATAATTATAATAATGTTATTCTTTATTAATATTGTTATTGTCATAATTATTGCTGTTATTATCATTATCATCATCATCATTATTAACATTATTATCATTATCTTATTATGATCATTATTATGATTCCTTAGTTTATCATTCTTATTACAAGTATCAGTATCAGTAATAGCATTATCATCATTATCCGTTGTACTAATGTAATCATTATTATTATCATTGTTATTAGTAGTAGAATCACTTTTAATATTATCATCATTATTACTATTAGTATCATTATCATTATTTCTATTAGTATCATTATCATTATTACTATTAGTATCATTATCATTATTTCTATTAGTATCATTATCATTATTACTATTAGTATCATTATCATTATTACTATTAGTACCATTATCATCCTTATTACTCTTAGTATCATTATTACTTAGTGTCATTATTATTATTGTCATTATAATTATCACCGATACACCGATACTATCATAAAGAATAAGAATTTATGCAAAACTCAAAAACATTACTGCTTCGCGAGTCTTTCTGATTATCGATTTCATTACCGTTATCATCACTGATAACTATTAATTATCATTATTCCTTTCACAGACATTATCAGAATTATGATAATTATCATTATTACTTTCAAGAACATTATCAGCATCGTCATCATGCGATTAACATTAATGGTATTACTGTTCTCAGCAACAGAAGTGTGCCTGGTGTTCTATCATGAATAATTTTATTAGTTCAGTATTACTTAAGTCTATAGCCATCTTTACCGCATTTGACTCTTCTTATTTTTATGAATACTTATTTATAGCAATAACATCATAGCTTTGTGCTATACTATAACTACTTTCACGTCATTTGCTTTTGTAGTAATGAGTGTTCGTAACAGTGACGTCACAGCTTCCCTTCTACTGATTTGTATAAAAGAGACTTCCAATTTCAGCCGAGCACCACAGCTCACTCAGCTTCTCTTCAACCAAAACCAACATGTCTGCGAAAGTGAGTAATTTCTGGGAAAAAATATACATATATCTTTCAGGCTTCCGTGCTAGTAAAAGTCTCTTTCTTTCTCTCTCTCTCATTCCCATCCATCCTTGCTCTCCCTCATTTCCCTCTGTCCCTTCTTCAGTCCCGTTATTCATTATATTCTACGGAACATTTTGTCTTTGTAGTTCTATTCATTTATTCTATCATCAGCAAAATACGAGTATTTCGCCGCAAGATTCAATCATGGCACTTATCTTTTCTTCTTTGTTATTGAGTCCAAAAGATTTCTCCTGTTTTCCCACAAAGTTCATATCGTTCCTTTCTTGTGGTGTTCGTCGTGCTTGTGGATTTTATCTTGGGATTCCCTGCTCCCTCCTGCAGCTGATCCTCCTGGTGGGCGCCCTCGCGGCTCTGGCCTCCGCCGTCCCCCGTCCCGACTCTCCTCCCGTCTACCACGCTCCTCACCCGACCTACAAGCAGCCAGGAATGCCCTTCGACTTCAGCTACGCCGTCAGGGACCCCTACTCGGGCAACGACTACGCCCACGCCCAGACCAGCGACGGTCACGTCACCTCCGGATCCTACAGCGTGGCTCTTCCCGACGGCCGAACCGAGATCGTCGAATTCACCGCCGATCACGACAACGGCTACGTCGCCAACGTCGCCTACGAGGGAGAGGCCTCGTACCCCGCCCCCCCCCTACCACCCCCCTCCCTCCTACCCCCCGCTCCTCCTACCACGCCCCCGCCCCCTCCTACCCTCCTCCTCCTCCCCACCCACATGCATAAGACCCTTCCATCCTCAAGGCACAGGCGGCTCTGCCAAAAGCTCCTTGCTCACCAAATATATCTCAAGAGTTCATTAAATTCACGCCAAAGGCACAAGGCAGAACCACTGTGCTTCAGCCTCATCACCTCCACATGGAAATTCATTGCAACATTGCTGACTCGTCCTGTTCATGTTTTCACAAGAGTCGTCTTCTAGTCCCTGTAATTTACTCTTGTCAATAAAGGTTACTCGATAAAACTTTTTTTAAGTACACTCTAACCGCTCACATATTTGCTTCTCTTTGCTTTTCTGAGCGTCCTTTATTCTTTTCTTTTCTTTTTTTATATATATTTCTTTTAACTGAGATTCTGTCAATGGCCTCTCGCGTGGCTGGACGTCCGCTTCGAGCATGGACAGACATGTTCTGCCTTTCTTTCTTTTCCCTTTTTCTCACCAAGAACTATCGTCGCAATTTCTCATTCATTCATTTTTGAGAATTACTCGTTTTCTCTCTCGGCGTCACTTGTAGATAGAGAGGATCTTAGATGTAATTTTTCGCTTGTTATTACGTCAACACAAAACAGCAGTTATCCTCGACGGTGCTGCTTGCACGAGCTGATCGCTGAGAATCCAGCTGTAAGATAAAATGTTCTCATATTATTATTTTAATAAATAACATTATCATCATTATTGGTATTATCAATATCAT